GTTTATTTTAACTTTTTAGTAATCATAGTTTCCCTATCATCCTGGTTGGTTATTAATTCATACAGACCGACCCCCCTATTAAATTTATCTGTTCAGGTTTCTAGATGCTCCTGACACACATCTTTCTTTCCTCTTTCAGATTTTAATTTAAGAATTTTGACTAACAAAACATGCAACGTGCCACATTCACTTACACTCTTTCCGAACAGACACACTACCCACACAACTTGGTACCGACACTTGTGTGAAACAAAGTCTGTGTTTTCGTTCGTATTTCGTCCCAGCTGACTCTTTCTTCTCGCCTGGAGTCACTTGAAGTTTCACGAGTAACTTGTGGTATTTCTTCTGCGTCCTCCTGTAATTTGTCCACGTCTGGATCGCTCGTAGTGTACTGCGGATGAAGGACAACTTCGCAGGAGAGCTAATGATTGCATAATATTCATATATGAACACTACAGTCACAAAGAGTTTCACACCAGCTCATTTTACAAGCTGTAATCTTCCATTTCATTTATTATTTAAGTTTCACGAAGAGTTTAAACAAATTTTTACTGATCTTATCCAACGTTGTTTCTAGTGCGGTCAGTTACTCCGTAATTTGTTACGAAATATTTACCTTCGTCACATTTATAAATTGAACATAACATTGAACACAAATTCGAACATAAATTGAACACAATTACAACTTAAGTCTACGCAAGTTAAACCCCGGACTTCGGTATCAAATGGACATAACATAAAACTTTTAGGTGTCGCCCTCCAAACACAGCCATGATGTACGCGCATGTAAAACGTATAGAGAGTAATCGTTTCCTAGACACTGCCAGACAACGAGCTGATTATGTACATGCCGAATGTAAAGTATACTCGACGCATTTTGGACGCTCGTACACAATCTCAGGTGTACGGTTACTTGCTTTTACGAACATCAACTAAGTTACAGCACTTGCTCCCCTCATATCTCTTCCAGAGTGCATTCGGACAGTAGTAATCGCACACATTAACACAATATACCAAATCCTTCAAACTCTTTCGGGACGCATACACTAATGGACATATATATGGATTCGCCCTGTGGCCTGCAATATAATACATTTGACCATCATGTATGACCTCAATACATGACATGCAATATATGATATATACATTGAACATATATAATCGACATATAATGACCGCATATACATGACCATGATATACGACCCATATATATGACCATATATATTGACAACCATATATGACCCCCAATACACTGCACATATATACTGAAATATACCAGTGACATATATATGATATATACGATTGACCGAATGTATGACCTATACATGACGCATAATATATGGAAATATATCATTGCCATATATACTTATGACTTTACATTGTACCATCATCTATATGCATATATAACCTGAATAACACATTGACATGAATATATGACCATCTACATGACTCATATCATATGAAATAATAACATTTTCACATATCCATAATATGACTGTATACATTGTCATTATATATGCACATATATGTATGACATATCATATGAGAATAATACATTGACCGAGTATGTATGACCTCATCACATGACCATATATATGACAAATATACACTTGTCATATCATCATATGACTTTTACATTGACATCATATACTGACATCATATATGAAATACACATTGACCATGATATATGACATATACATGACCGATGATATATGAAGGTGAAATATGACGAGTCTACGATATATCAGTATGGACTTATGACATTGTCAGTGCAGTGAAGTATGACATATTATGACGATATGAATGAATGGAAATTATACATTGGACATAGTATGACCTATACATGGAGGACATGATTATATTGAAATATACATTGACCCATATGAATGACCTAGTACATGTGACCATAATAGAATGACGTATAGCGATTGGACAATATATAGTCCGACAGGTAATGCCAGTAAGTTTTTGGACCTTATCAGTCCTTGTTGAAGGTTTTACGTTTAAGGTCCGGCTGTTTCAATATGTCCTTTGTTAGTAAGATAAGTTGTTGCTCGTGGGTTCAAATACTGTGTTGGTCAGTACATGGTTGGATAGAAATGGGCTTTCAAGAAAACTGTGGCTCAATTTCTTTGGGGTGAAAAAATATTCTGAACTAAAAATAGGAACTGACACTACATCCAAGTTCTTCATGTTTTAAAATCCTAGGATAAAATCATGAAGAAAATGAAAAGGGCAAACTTAATCACAAAAGATAAATAACAGCAGCCTGTGTGTGTGTGTGTGTGTGTGTGTGTGTGTGTGTGTGTGTGTGTGTGTGTGTGTGTGTGTGTGTGTGTGTGTGTGTGTGTGTGTGTGTGTGTGTGTGTGTGTGTGTGTTTTTAGCACACCGACCGGGGGTGCAGGAGGAGATCATTCATAACTTGGACTACTGTGATGTTCTGGTTCTGGGCGAGGAGCTGAGGCCGGAGCTAGAGTCGCTCCAACTTCAGCGCAGCGCTCTGCTCGGGAAACATCTGGACGCCACCAACTCCACATCTGGCATGTCCATATACGGTATGTTACTATGGTAGCAAGTAGTGGAGTGCAAATACTTTGTTACTGTACTTAAGTACATTCCTTCTGGTCTCAGTACTTTACTCCTCTACTTATTTTTTTAGACTTTTTACTTTGACTTCTTACATGTTGAACACAAATACCTGTACTTTCTACTTCTTACATGTTGAACTCAAATACCTGTACTTTCTACTTCTTACATGTTGAACCCAAATACCTGTACTTTCTACTTCTTACATTTTGAACTCAAATACCTGTACTTTCTACTTCTCTCATTTCCCAAACAGGCTGGTTCCTTTAGTCTGAATGTGTGTTTGGTGGCGTGATCATTATTATTTAGAGTCATTGCGTGCCTATTGATTTGAACACGATCCGTGTATCCATCATTTCCTGGTCTTCTCTAAAGAAGAGGGACCAATGAAAACGTTGTCATGTTGCCGTTGTTCAGCATGGAAACATTCATTAGCTAACAATGACATTATTGATCTATTAATATAAAGGGAGGTCAGGTACTCTTTAAAACAGCTGCTAGTTATGGGTACTTTTTACTGAAGTACATTTCAAAGCCTCTTTACTTTGATTTGAGTAAAGAAGTTTAGTCAGTACTTCTACTTTCACCAGAGTATTTTAAACATGAGTATCTGTACTTCTACTTGAGTAAAGGATGTGTGTACTTTTGCCCTCTCTGAGGTGAGGAAACACAATCACATGTTGTCAGTAAAGGTGGAAATAAGCGTATATATCTGCAGGAATAGAGAGTGTTATTACCTGTCCTGGTTCGTGTCACAGGAGTCTCCCACCAAGTCGTTGTCAATGTCAGACTGAAACAAGAGCAGAGATTTTTACTAAAAAGCACTTTTCTCACACATGAAGAACTCTGATAATCCATTCATTTTATAAAGTATCACTACAGCAACTGGGAGGCTGTGGCTCAGCGGGGTAATGCGTTGATCTTTGGTTCAGTCCCCACTGCATTCAGCATGTCGTTGTGTCCCTGGGAGAGACACTTTTGGGGAATGTTCACAGTATTGAATGTATGTAACGTGAACATACTCTATTAGGGTTGAATATTTGTAGACTTGTACCTATTTGTGTCTAAAAAATATCATTAAATTAAAACTAGCTGAGACCTTTTGATATCAATTTGTGAAGCTTCTTAAAGTTTTGTGTCTGGAATGTCACCAGTGTTGGGGAAATATTTTCCATCACAACCAGGAGCAAGGTTTTTATTTGGAGGTAGTTTGTAAGAGTTTCTAAGTTTTTGTGTAAATACTGAATCTAAAAAGCAACTACTAACTTCCTCGGTCTGATAGATGAGATGTGATATTTTTTACTAAGGCACACAAGCCAAAATATTTTGCAGCACTGGTTTATTTATTTGTATTTCTAAAGATTTATTGGCCCATCTGTGTCTGAGTGTAACAGTTGTAAATATGCAGTGGTGTTTTGTGTTAAATATGTATTTGTATAGTATAATCACACAAATTCTATGTTCTGTATTTAATAATTCTGTGTTCTTCCTTTATTAAACGTTAAATACCTGACTAGGTCTGAAATCAGGGGGTGAAACCTCCAAAATGCAGTCACTATACTCAGAAGATTATTTTTGTGTGGACTTCCCCTCTTCATTTTGTGTCCCTCACGTTTTCCTCTTCCCTTTTTGTGAATATGTTCCACGTGAGAAGAATCGGTGTGAGGGGAAAACTAATTTAATAACGACTGACTTGTTGTATATCTGCTGTCAGTCAGTGAATAAATGGAGAGCGGCTCAACTGTTTGCTGACTCGGGTCTCATCCTTCAACGACATAAACACAACGCAGACACCGTGAATCGACACCGGTTACATGATGAGTCCTACCTGGTTTGGGTTGGGCGTGTCGGGGCAGCTGTCGCAGGCGTCTCCCACTCCGTCTCCGTCCCGGTCCAGCTGGTCTCGGTTCTGGACGCGCTGGCAGTTATCCAGGAAGTTCTTCAGGCCTGGTGCCGGAGAAACGAGAGGAGAGAGAGAGCGTTATTAAACAGTCAGTGTGACAGCAGGGGGTTAGAGAACTGTCAGGTTTAACAGAGGAGAGAGGGAGGGTATTATCTGTTATCATTGTCAATTATTTAAGACTCTTAGGAAAGATGTATGAGCATTTTTATGATGACTTGTTTCTATAAACGGTGCGAAAAGACACAAAAGAAATACAAGAATGACTTTTTTTTAAATCAGATGAGTTACAGTCAGACCTTGACGTGATGCACAACAAACTTAAAGTGGACCTATCATGCTATATTTGAATAATATAGTGTAGGACCATACCTATATAAGGCATATTTATACGTTTCATTTTTCAAAATACCAAACAGATCATGCATTTTAGCCATTCCTCATTTCGCTCAATTTAAAACTGCCTTTCATGCTCTGATTCTGTGAGAACAGCACCATCTACAGGCCTGGCATATGTACTACAGCGTCTCCAGTGCTTTCCAACAGCAATGTCCGTGGCTGTCTCCTCCTGATTGGTGGAGTTGGCCCAATAGCCGTAGCGCCACTTCTGTGACGTCATAGAAGTGTTCAAATCTGGATCAGTCTGTATCAGATCCGTTGCAGCCCCTTTTTAAGAGATTTGGGTATGGAGGAAAATAGAGAGGGTTGTGTTTTCTGACACTTGGTGAGTTCCCTGGAACACCGGGGACACATATTCATGAAGAAAAGACGTACAAAAGTGTACTTTGCATGATAGGTCCCCTTTAAGGTAAATCGTCGGATAAGAGAGATAAGATAAGAGAAAGGACTTTATCCATCCTGAAGGAATTCGTTGTGCCAGAGTTACAAGAATACAATACACCCAGCAGCATGATAGTCACACTGATAAAGAGCCTTAGATATCTACAGGAAACAGACGGTCACATCATGAATGAAAAATACTGTAGTGAACAGCAGGGTTTAGTAGCAACAAAACGTAGTGGCAGTAGCCGCACATTATTAATAATAATAGTGCACATGTGATATAGCAGAGAGTGTTTCGATGTGAGGAGGATTCCAACAGAGTCAGAGTCCAACTGGAGACGAGTGAGAGCCCTTTTTTATCACATGTCCCTTGTTAGACGCTTTCATCCAAAGCGACTTCCATACTCAATACTGAGGGGGCAATCCCCACAGGAGCAACTTAGGGGTGAAGTGTCTCAGGGACACAACGACATGCTGACTGCAGTGGGGTTTGAACCTGCTACCCTCTGATTTGAAGATCAGCGCATTAACCCACTGCGCCACACGCCTCCCTTCAGATGGTGCGGCAGCTTAGCAAGATGATGGGGACACGGCGGCACCACATGTTTTCCATGTGTTCTAAATCACCATAGCTTTAAATGGGGGGGG